TATACTCTCAAAACATTTAATCAAGACAAATTAAGGACTATTATATGACTGTAATGGCGCTCGATGAAAAGATGGATACTGTTGATGGATTTCGATTACATCAAATAAGCGACATAAAACATCGAATAGATAAGGAGAGGGAGTTTAGACTTGGATTGTATAAAAAGTATCCCAGAGCCGTGAATGCTCTCGACGGAGTTGACACCGCGCTTGTGACGGCTTCTGTAATCGCCGCGCCTATCGTACTTGGCATGGAAATAGCGGCCGGAGTCTCAGGACTGGCAGGAATAACGATAAAATTCATTTCTGGTAAGTTGCAAAAGAAAGCATTAAAACATGATAATATTCGGATACTCACCGAAGCAAAGTTGAACAGCATTGAGGATCATATTTCAACAGCAATGGCTGATTGTAAGATATCCGAGGAGGAGTTTCGTTTAGTGCTGTCGGAACTCACTAAATACAACGTAATGAAGCAAGAGATTCAATCCAATTCTCATAAGACCAGTGGTATTAGCAAAGACGAGGAAAAAAAGTTTATAGAACAGGGGAGACAACAAGCGCGTCAATTATTCAATGCCAAAACCAAAGAACTAGTTGGAGATTAAAAATAGATTGCTTCCTATCATTAGATCACACTGCATTAAATCATACATTCATTTAGAAGAATGCTTACGTAAATATATAATAATGGAGAATTACAAACCAACAAAGGAAGAACTCGAAAAAGCTATCAAAACATTTATGCTCAGGGACAAAATTATCAAATGGAGAGAATTACCACAAGGTATAGATTATATCAGTGATGTCAAACCAACCAAATACGGTCATCAATTGTTTCTTTCCAATTACCAAGAAGAGTATATAGTCTGGTCTCCTAGTAAAATGAACGAAGAACTTAGTAAAAATGTTGACTATCACTTTGTTAAAAATAATGGTATACGTATTAGTAAAAATAATAGAGAATATTTTCATTACCATTTAGTTTAATCTTATGACTATCGTTGAATCGCATCATCATTTACACATAAAAAAATCCATCTGTAGTCATGGTATAGGTATATGAATCTGGCTCTAGTGGAAGTGAGCCAGAACCCTATCATCTATAAAAAATTGTATCATAGAAGCATTGATAGGTTTGAAAATGGCTCCAAGTAGTGGTGAGCTAGAGTCATTTTCATTACAATTAATTTAATCTAATGATGATTGTTGGATCGCATCATCATTTTTGCATAAAAAATTCCATCTGTAGTAGCAGTATAGGTATATAAATCTTGCTCCAGTGTAGTTGCGGTAGAACCCCTATTACCTACAGTACTTTACCACCTTAAACACAATCATGTATTCCCTACCTGTTGGACCCATTTTGATTGTGTCGGGTAGTTAGATAGGTAAGTGACACAGCAACAAGTAGAGATTGCTGCAGAGCATCAATAGCTCCCCGCAATATAATGCTATGTGCAGAGGAAATAAGTGTAAGCTATGGGAGGAGAGAATTTATGTTCAGTACAAATTGGTTGTTATTAATGTACTTATCTTTGGAAAGCACAATAAAAGAAACAGTGTCTTTAATTGGTCAGCACAAAGAAAACCCAGGCAAGAAAACTGGGCCTGTCAGGCAAAACTTGATATATACCCATTATTAGTACCAATAAAAAAAATCCTATATAGATAACGAAACAAATGTCATTCTAAAGCATGCTTTTGCAGCAAATATTAATATTTCTGGTCAAAATGTTGGTTGGGTTAAATAAAGCAAACTTTTAAAATAGTGAACACAAAAAATGTAATGAATCCACTCATTATATACTCAATAGACTTCAGTTCAAATGTAAAAATTCACGCAATCATTAATGGATTCCCATTTATCTAGCAGCAAGTTAGGAACATACAGTTTGGTCACGTTATCTATAAATATTGAGAATTATCTTACATATTGTAAAAACAAAGGACATAGGTCACTTTTCTCAAAACTTCGTTTAAGTAATCACAAACTAAAAATTGAAAAAATTGTAGATATAAAAAAAAAACAACAACAACATTTGAACAACGTCTGTGAAACATGTGATGTCTCAGAAGATGAACAACATTACGCATTGTCTTACATAATACAACCAAGAAAGAGAATCACAAATAATCCCCAATCATGATAAAGAATTTAGTACACTCGGTTAAAAGGTGCAGATTCTTAATAAGTTTACCAACAGTTATCCAGAAACAACTTCCAAGATCTGTTAACATATCAACAATTACAAACCTTACAATTCCTTGCACATGTATGTACAACATTACCATAGTTTTGCTCACTTCCCATATTGTTTCCATATCATTATAATACACTTGTTTTACAAATAAAATTGTTATAATGTAGCTCTTTGGAATGTTGAATGTTACTGTGTTTTTTAATTGTCGTTTATTGTGCATGTATTTTGTAGTTTGTGATTGTGTAATATAGCCACTGATTCTACATGGAATGTTCCGCAATACATACCTCATCTAAAACATCTTTGTTGTATAATAGTTTCTTACAGTTGCTTACGGGGCATTGTTGGCCCAGTCGCCAAAGCCGCTGCAATTCGCTATGCAGAGTTGTGTCCCTTGGGCACGCCAGAAACCTATGACAGTGTGTTTGAATCTCGGTTCGCTCCGATTTTGTTGTCAGCACAAAACCCTTGCTCGTTGGTTTCACCAAAGTGGTGAACGTCTAAGACCTGCATCACTTCAGACTTTCCTCCCACATCAAGCTGACACGGAATACTATTCAAGACGGCGTTAAACCCAACTACCTCACTCACTCTTGTGTATGGTTCCGTTTGGTTTACTGGGTTTGTGTTGTGATTGCTTCCGGCTTAAATTTGAAATTTGTTTAAAAGAATGTTACTATGTTCAACCCAAACATCGTGGAGATATCATGCAACCGTATTATCTTTTTGGAAAATAATTGCAAACTACAGACTACAGACCAACCTGTCCTATGTATCCAGAAGCAAAGAACATATACGGGTGTATGATCTCTGCTGGAATTTTTTTTGTTTTTTTGTCAAAGCAATAAACCATGCAGAAACGTAAACCGCCGCATGAAATAGTATGTACCATACATTACATACAGTGAAGTATTAAAAACAATGCTGTGCTCAACTATGCACAGCAAGCGCCATACATGTGATTATGAAGATAACTAATAAAAAAATTCTCATATCAAACCCGTTGTTTTACATGTGTTGTTTATTGAACAAAGTCATACTTTATAGAAGCCTGTTATTTAATCCTGTTGAAAAATATGTTGCAAAAGCAGTGTGAAAATTGAGTGCCCGTGACAGGCTTGGCCTTAATTCCTTCCTGGAACGTTTCTCGATGGCTGCCTGAATAACATACGATACATTGCAAAGGTAGTGCGCAATTGAGCTGTTCGGGTAAGGGAGATAATCACTCACTCTCAGTGATACAGCTTGAATAAGGCACGATGTACAGCAATGCAAGGTCAGTGCGTGAATTTATCACTTCTATACTACGCCTATAGCTAAAGGAGATAATCGCTCAATGCGCAATAGTTTATTCTTACAAAATATAGACCGGTTAACTTTAGCGAAATGGGATCATTTTTAGCTCTTTTAAAAACAAAATGAACAAATTTCATGGGTTATCAGCATTACGAAAAATGACTAAGTCTCAGAATAGCAAGAAGATTTTGAAGTATCTCTTATTGCTGGAAAAGATAAACATCAACATTTCACGCACATTTCACATGATTTGTATGTTTCGTTTCGGTAACTGTGTGGCTTGAAATTTCATAGAAACCAACATGTCGACTTACATGCTACAAATTTAACCTCTCCCTTATACTTCCCCGCCTTAAGGGCGGGGAAGAATAATGATGACAACTCATCCCAGTGAAGGGGAGGTAACTTGTGAACCTGTCTCACGGATTGATGTCCATTTGCAGGGGCATATGGATATGCACTTTTGAATAGCACTTTTAATGAGAACAATGTGTAATGAGGTATTTGAAAACTTTGTTATTACAGTAGTTATTATCACAGTCATCACTTTGTTATTAAGGTAGCTTGGCGCAGTGGCAATTGTGTATCAAGAAACAGGTAGATTGGTATGCTTCTGTTTATGAATGTATTGCAAACACTTTTTTTGTTTCTTTTTTAGCAATGCCCAGAAAACTGTGTATCTTCACCCCATCTACCCACCAGAGTTGGAAATAAATAACAACAACTGAGAAACCATATTCAGTGTCTTATTAGCATCAGTGCTTAGAAAATCAAAATGATAGCAGCCTCTGTGGCAAGCTGTATGACAAGAGGGATGATTTAAGTTTGCCAGTTGTAAATTTTCCCTTCATGTTGAGCAATATAAATCAGATTCAGCCTGTGTCTACATGTCTCAGATGTATAGGTGCTTTAGAGCATTTTATTCAAATTTCACTGAAAGACACATTTTACTTGTAACTAGTTTTGCTTTTATGAAGAGCCTGGTTTGGTCATTCCCAAAACTTTGTGGTAGACATTAAGCAGATTTGACTAAATATGCCACATCACTTGTATACATGATGCCTCAAGCTCATCAATGCTTTGACCTTTGTATACCTCCTTACTCACAGGCACTTACTCTCAATGAAAAATGTAGTAATGGCAAGTGCTACAGGTAACACTGGACATGCTAACCTTTCCTTGTGAACACCTGTGTCATCACTGATTTTCATTCATGTAATTTTCATCACTTTTTTACTATAGGCTGATTATTCTCTGGGATTGACATTTTGAATGTACAATGGTATGATATGCACTTCTTCAGAGGTGTATTTTCTTGTAAAAAGGTGTGCATTATACACAGGAAAAGAATGGGGTAGAACTAGTCATATGCAGGAAATGTTGTGTACAAAACTTGAGAGATGTGCTTTGTTATTTTAAGTAGAAAGCTGCCAGAAGCCTTTTAGATTTATTATTACAAAATATTTTCATTGTGGTGTTTAATTTGTTCATTGTTAACAGGATCTGGGCAGTTTGGTTCTGTGGTGAAAGGAGTGTGCCTACTGGGCAAGAAGGAAATACCTGTTGCTATTAAGACTCTAAAGAATGAAGATTATAAACCAGACCAAAAGGTAAGTACTGCAAAAGTAAATATCTTTTTCTAGGTAAAAGAATCTTAAAATCTAAACAGTAAGTAAAGCAAGACAAACAGGGTACCCTGAAAGAAAACATCACCTTTATAAAATGTACTTATTTGTAACTTTACTTAGTAATTAATGAATATAAAGACTTATATGTATTACGTAAATTATGTGAATTAAGACTTATTTATAAAGAAATTAAGACATTTAAACAGTAGAACACAGAACCAACATGGATGGAACAAACCTAATGGATACAATGCACTGTTACAAAATCCCTGAATTATCTCCTATTTATTATCAAATAAATTATACATATATAACAAAGTCTCTACAACCAATTAGAGTATTTTCCAAACTGATATTTGATCTCTGACAAGGTCAAATACCACTAATTAGGGATTGTGGCTAATCAACACATTCAGCGGTGATAATTCAACTTTGTTAAACTTGCTTTATGTTAATCTTACCTGTAATTGGACTGGTCTTGCCTGTAAAATAAACATGTAAATATGAAGTCAAAGTGATCAGGTCACTTGTATTGTGTTTTGTTTTATCCAACATGGCCAACATGGCCGAGAGAAAACGCATATAACAAACAATGTATATAACAAACTGATTTCTCCAGTCCCTTGTAGTTCGTTATATCCATGTTCTACTCTACACTAAACTATGTATATAACAAACTCAGGTGACCACTAATTTCAGTTCATTATAACCGTAATTCATTATAAGCAGTTAGACTGTCTGACATCTTCGATCAAGTCACGTGACCACATCGTGTTACCCGATAAATAACAAACGTGTGCACTGTATATGTACTATGTTTATTAATCTCATAAGTTGATTTGTAACTTAACATCAATGTCTAAATCTTTCTGCTTGCAAAGTGTGTCTGTCATCGTTATTTTATTAATACTGAATGTTCCTTACTCTAGTTGTCACATTTTTTAGACAGAAATATTCATTTTGAAGGCTTTAGCCTATTCACTCTTTAACTATTGTTAATTGAAGGTGTAAATAATTAGTGAGGACAAGCTGTTAGAACTTATTCCAGTTAATCACTTGCCTTCAATTATTTTTTGCCGCTTTGAACATTATAAGCATGTTTGTTATAAATATGGTTTACTGCATATGAATACTCAGGAGGATCTTTGCAATGCATGCTTCCAAACAATCTTCAGGAGAAACTGTACAGCATGCTCAACACCATCTCCGTATTGCATATTCTGTAGATGCTGTTACATCATCTTTGCAACCTGCGACCATGTCAATCTCATTAAAATCAGATCTTAGTTCTCGCTACCGCTAAACAAAGATCTGAAGACATCCTATTACGGGTCACGTCAGACCAACCTTGTGCAAACTGTGACCGACCAATAGAATGACCAATCAGAAGGCAGCTTTCTCTTGCTTTATGGCACTAATTTCAAATTGGCGACTACGCTTCGAAACATATTTGGACAAATTCTCGATTACAAATTTGAAACCTAAACAAAAGAACATTCTGGAATGGCTAATAGATGGTCTAGATTGTATGGATTCAGTCGTTAAACCTGTAACTATCGTTCGGAATACCCCGTGTTAAATTTTTTGAGGTCGTATGATTAGAAATCTCATTCCGACTGTCACTTTCATGATCTGGTAAGTGACGCTCTCATTGGTCAGATGAAAGGTCGTTCAGACGTGACCTCTAATGGGATGTCTTCAGATCTTTGTTTAGCGGTAGTGAGAACTAAGGTCTGATTTTAATGAGATTGGCGATCATGTTCTCAGACAATCTTCAGAACACCCTTAGTAAGGGGCATGGGTGGCCCTAGTCATCTTAGGCAACGTAATTCGCTGTGCAGAGTTGCATCCCTTGGGCACACCAGAAACCTAGGGTCGTGGTTTTGAATACTGCTTTGCCCCGATTATGTTTCTAGGTTTGTCATCACCATACCCATTGCTAAGGGGACACTGAACACTACTGCCATCCTTGAATTTGCATTTTAGGGGGCCATATGAAAAGCTTCTTTTTTTTTATTGTAAATTCAAAATTATGACAGCTATTGCTTTAATATGAGACCTATATTTCTTTTAACTTGCAATGTTTTGTTACATCTGGAGATGGAAAGGGGTCATCTCAAAATGATGTGATAATTAAGCCACTTTTTATTTACTTTTTTCAGTAAATAATGAAACCCGTTTTGACCAAGGTATTTATATAAATACAAAATAGGAATAAAGAAAGCAAAGAACATCAATTTAATCACATATGAAACACTTGAGAATACATTACAATACTATGTAAACATTTCCACCCTTGGATATGTAACATTTCTCCACGTTCCATACAAAGTTTTTACTTCCTTCAGCTGAACAATCTGTACAAATCAGTTTCTTTTTAAACATTTGCTGCTGACAGTAGAGGAGGTTCTTTTGCATTGTTGTTGTTAGATGAATTTTATGAACAGGAACCATACATCTCATGATCTTCTGTAAACCTTTTGGCGAAATACACACAAAGACAAAGCACATCTGTGTTGAAACATTCAGCTCCAGTTCTTTTGTGATCTTGCATCTACAGTAGGCAAAAGGTGTCTGTCTCTCATGGTTTGCCATGAGATTTGCCAAATCTCTCTGTTTGGAAGAGGCTACTTTGTTTTCAAGTTCATCCTTCTCAGGAATGTCTCCCATTCTTTCTACTAGCTATGAACAGAACAGATGCCAAATCTGCCTTGTTAGCTGATAGGACAATAAAATTCTCCTACTTTTGTGGTAGATAACTGTTAATAAGTTTTCTTACCAATTGGCCATGTTTTCCCCCCACTTTTCATGAGTTGCATTTTTGATGGAGCAGTCATCATGACAGTCAAACACAACGTCTATTCATTTGACTGTTGTGTCAAACTTTCCAAGGACAGTCACAGATGAAGTCTGCAAAATCTCCAAAGGTCTTTGCCTGTGATGGTTTCCCTATGCACTGTATTAATGCTGGTCGAGCCATGAGTAAGCATGTTCTTTTCTCGTACTTTGGAAATGTACATGAAAAGAACAATTCATGCATTACAACTTCCCAAACAAACCGTAGTTAAGATTTTGAACTCTCATAAAAACACATGCTCCCCTGCATAGCCCTTAGGGGGCATCTCAAAACAGGATAGGAAATTAAAGTTAGATTCCTTTGATAAGAAAGTTGTCAGGGACGTGATTCGGCGGTTAACACAAGAAAATGAATTTATTTCAACACAAAAACTAAAACAAATTCTCCTTACAGAGCATGACTTAGATATTTCCAAATGGACCATTTGTAAATTCCTTTCCAAATTTGGATATCAGTACAAAAAGACGAAAGGGTCGAAACTAGCAATGTGTGAACGACCAGATATCATTCGTTTGCATATCAATTATTTGTGCACTATTAAAAAGAAACAAGAAGAAGGCTATGAGCATGTCTATTTGGACGAAACCTGGGTTAACGCCTGCCACACAGCGGCTTACCAATACCAGATACCAGAGAGCCACAGCGCAAGATCCCCCCTGGTAAAGGGGAGCGCCTGATTGTCCTCCATGCAGGCTCCCACAGAGGTTTCCTCCCTGGGTGTGATCTAGTGTTCAGATCCAGATCTACAGATGGCAGAGACTACCATACCGAGATGAATAGTCAAGTTTTCACTGCGTATGTTGAGGAGCAGCTCCTCTTAGCACTGCCTGATAAATCCTTGGTGGTTATGGACAATGCTCCCTATCACCTATCCCTTATTAAATAACTGCTTGAGACGCCCAACGCTAACACCGTATTCGTGTGTGCGTGATTCCCGTGCAACCTTTCGAGTTGAGTTGATTGGTTCAACTGTGTCATATGGCCCTGTGATGCTGGGGTAGCATTATGCAGATGGCTGTTACAATGAATGCTCATTCCACCCGTGACGAACAGGTCTGGTTGTTGATGAAATATAGTGATAGCTAAATAGAAATTAATTTTTTATTCATGCACCGATTGTCTTTAAATGTAATATCCAGTTATGTATGACTGTTTGATTACTCCATACCAACTTTGACTGGAGTAGGTCCAATAGTTTTTCAGATATTGTAGTAAACGTCGGTACCTTAAATTAACTTCCAGACTATAGATATGCCAGTACAGCTTTGCTATTTCAATGCAGTGTGCCATCCAATTTTGCCAGTGCTGAAGGAACTGTAGAAAGTTCATGTTCAAGGATTGATGTCATATCAACCTTTGTCTGTCCTCTTCAAACTATTTGACAAAGGTGATGCTTGGCAAAGCACAGATATATCAGCTAGATACAATGAGCCCCATCTTGAGTAGTTAGAATGTTCATAAAAAGAAAGGAATGGGGGGCATATTTGGTAAAGATGAAAGATGCAATTTCTTATTTCCATCCTTTTAGCCCTCAGAAAATCCTTCAGAGTTTTAACTGTTACCATGTAATTCCTCAAATACATACAACTGTGCAGCATTTGCACAATCATATTCTTGAAAGTGCTTGATTGCTTTTCACTTTGGTACACAACTTTACAACAGTGTTGATATCAGCAATATCATTTGCCAGAATTTTTCATTTACCAGCTTGTGGTAACCATTTAAGCAGCAGTGACCGATACACACTCCACAAGGCTTCATGTGATAGCTTTTGGCTCTGATTCATCATTTGTATGCCCTTCCTCCAAGCAATTGTTGTGTGGAAACTTCACTCTATAACCTGTCCATGTATCTTCTTCACTTCACGTGTTTCCCAATGAATTGAAGATAATTCATCGTGACATGCAGCCTTCCAGGTCTGACTATGGCTATGCTGCGAGCTTCTTCTCTGAGCCAAACTATTTATCTCAGATTACTATACAATGCCTGGTCCAAAGTTATTATCATACACTGTCTGATGACAGTATTCAAAGTGTCTTATTGGGGTAAATAGCGCTCAGCAGATCCATCTGTCCATCTGTCAATGTGTCTACCCACAATGTTTTCTGTTCCTTGTATAAGTTCTCAACCATTCATCAGAAATTCAGGAAAATTCACAATGATGTTGACTGGGAGGCCTTGTTAGTGTATTCCTTCATATGTGTCATTTTTTTTAAACAAAAAGTTATTTTAAGACCCCCCTAAATTAAAACATAATATTCTTATATGTGTCATTTTAAAACTTGAAAAGGATACCAGTATACATTTGTCCATTATTTGATAGTTTTATGTTTCTATTTACTTGAAAATCGATATTACCGTGAACTGAAAAGGTATGAACTGGGTTTGAAAAAAAAGAAAATATGTAAAATTAGACTTTAGACATGTTAGCCATTAGACTTGGTAATCAGAGAAATTATTTTGAGATAGTGGTACTATCATTGGTATGTTATATAACAGGGAATTCCATAGAATTACCCATTCCTGCATCCCTGTGCATGTGTGAAATTGACTTCACTCTGTTGCAGCCTGAAATTGTCAGAGAGGCTGAGGTTATGCAAGAACTGGACCATAAGCACATTGTCAGAATGATAGGTAAGTATTCAATCTGCCCTTGGGAAATTATTTGGGCATATAACATGTCATGAAAAGGTCAATGGTAAATGTCACAAGATAAAAAATTCAGGAATGTTTGTGGTGACACTTTCTCAAAAAGTATGAACGCATGACCTTGTGGTGTAATGGGAAAAAACAATAAATATTTTGCTCGGATGTATTTCTATGTTCTCTGAATTTTGACTGAGGTAAACTGGTAGACCAGTTATCCAGTATATTGTCTATCACTCAGTGTGGTGGCCTCATCATTAAGGTCCTTATGATATACACATTCTTGCATATTTACTTTTTAAGTCACATGACTTCATCTAGGTCGTGCCTGTTTGCTGAGGGTGATGGTACTCCCTTATGATGTTTCGTGGCAAAATTCGGCTAAATTGTCAAACAACATTTCAAGTCAAAGAATTCACCTTCTAAGGTCTTAAGGACCTATCATCTGAGGAAGACAACAGTTCCTTCACACTGTGAGTGGATCGATTTCAGTTAAATTCCACCGCAGTTGGTGAGCTTGAGGACCAAGGTTTCAAATCCTAGGAGGGAACAGCAGAATTGACAGATCACAACTTCGGTTGTCATGTGCCATTGGCTTAAATACCAATTAAAAAAGCACTGAGGTGGATTGGCAATAACTTTTGGAAAAGAGGCAAAGGTTTTGACTGTCCATCTGGGTCACTGAGCCTGGAGAACAAAGCACCTGACCAGTTGCAGACCAATTAGCAAGTATGCAAAGGAATTCTCATCTAATGATCTTGCTAATATTTTCAAAATGCCCCAGTCAGAATTCATTCCTAGCCTAGCAGAAAGATTGCGCACTCCTTTCTGGACATTTGTGACACCGTCACTATGTCAGAATAGCATAGTAGTGCTGGATGTGTCTGTGGTGGTGCATCAACTGACACTATCCTCATGTAAAAATGCCCTGAAGATTCTATGAGAGATGGGAACAAATGATTGGATATCATTGGCCTGAGTGATGAACTATGAATTACAGTAGCTACAGTATAACAAGCCTTCTTATGGTCATCACCCTTCTCATATGAACGCGAATAGATTTGTGTGAGCTTTGAGGTTGAAAACACTTTTTCCTGCACTAGTGTAATGTAAAAGGACAAGATAGAGGTGAGTATTCTGGATGAAATAGCTGAGGGCAACTACATTAAAGTATCTACAAAACCGAGGATGGTGAGTGCACTGGGTTCTGTGCCAAAAAGCCCATACCTATTCAATAGCCGGACACAAAATGATAACTGAATGTAATGCCAACAGAGCATCTGTGCATTGGTACCTTATTTTGATGACTTCTGGGTAGCCACAGCAATGTGGAAGGCATGTCCGGCAGCGATGAACTTGAGTCTACATTATCTACGATAGCTCAGCTTCCAAATCAGCTGGAAGAAGGTGGAGGGCTCATACTGATGGCTTACTTTTCTTGGGGTTTAGCTGGAGACATCAGTTGGTACACTATCACTCAATGCTTTGAAAACTGAATTATTGCTGCAAGAATTTACTGTGTTTCTGGATGGTAAATGCTCCAGAGTTGTGGGACCTACTTGTCTGTCAACAGGTCTCAGATCCTACAGTGCAAGGAGTGAATGCACAAGGTAATCTTACCCTTTGTATCCTGGGCACCCCTTATGTCCTTCCACATCTTTGGCTCAGTTCCTTTCACAAGCGTGTCCACTCGACAAGGATGCTGTACCTACACCTCAGGAAGGGCTATGTTACTCATCACTCTCACCAGATTCTTTCCGTAAACAACTCAACAAGGTGTCCCATGAATTAGGCCTATCTACCGGTGACTATAACACTCATAGTCTGCGAGGTGTTAGCGATACAATATCCATTACTCAGTGATACAAGATCGATGATTGGTTATTATGCCAAAATAAGATATGCTGAAATATTTGCTTCGTCCACCATATTTCCAGATGGAATCAGTATGAAGACTTTGCACTTAGCTAAGGAATTGGGTTTGGCTGATACCAATTAACCTTTAATTGAAGAATCTTCTGGTGCTTCTGTTCAGGATATCCATCACACAATGGCTGTTCACTCGGATTACAGATCCGGTCATCAGTTTTGCTCAAATCCAACTGGTGCATCTCCATAGATACATCAATGACTTTCTCTTGGCTGATCAGGACACGTACAGGTGGATCATGATAGATGCTACAGATGGTTGCTGATGTGATGGCTCAACAATACTCTTCGATGCTTGTTATATATACTTTCAAGACATGACTTACTGGTGGAGACTTCGCTTTCGTCCCCTACTGGCTGGGAAGAACTTGATGGACAACTTTGGACATCCTGGTAACTTGTCCCTGATTGTTATTGGATCAGCTCACTTGGTAGACAGGATGGGAGAAGGTCATTATGAGCATTCCACTCTGGATGCTTCCAGTTCAGGTTGGAGAGCTCATATAGACGATATAACATATAACGATACTATGGCAACCTTATGATGAGACCTTCACATTAATTGCCTCCAGATGAGAGTGATCGACTATGCACTCAATATGAGTCTTGATCCTCGGTCACGGACAACACCACAGTAGTAGATTGTGTCCAGATGCAAGGAGAGGACAAGTTGAGTGGTTCATTGAGTAAGACTACAAGTTCATTTGCCTTGCTAGACTCCATCTACTGCTGGATTTAAGCAGCCACATATGGGGAAGCGCAACATATTGGCGGACAACTTATCCCATCAAGGCAGGACAGCCACAACAGTGGTCTCTCCATCCAGAGTCATTGTGTTGGATAACATCGGTTAGGGATACACCTCAACTGGACTTGTTTGTCACATGCCTAAACAAGATTCCAGTGTATTTCAGTCTGATGCCAAGTTCTTCAAGTAGACAAGCTGTCCATGGACAAGATGGGGTTATTAGCATATGCCTTCTATGTTTGGTTGCTCAGAACATCAAGACACAGATTGCACAATCATAGCACCGGTGTTGCCAGCTCGACTGTGATTCACCAGACTGTTCTGGTTACTCCTGGAGGAACCCCTCAGATTACCAGAACGTTGATATCTCCTCCTTGAACTCATGTACGTCATGTATGGTAGTCAACTTGCCCTTCACCTCCAACGCACATTCCAAAAATGGAACCTGTCGGCTTTTTGGGTGGATCCTTTTGAACTTTTGACATCAGCAACACTACTACAAAAGACCAAGAAGAAGGCATTCCTTTGGCCACAGCATCCAGGGTGTCAGAACTGCATGCTCTAGACTTCTCAGGACTCACGGACACAGATGATTTGTGCTCGATTAATATCAGGACCCTACCAGAGTTCATGGCTATAAACCAGACTATGACTTTAGTATGACTATAGGCCATAAACAGTACACGATCCCAATCCACAGGAAAGGTTTCGATGAAGCGGATCATCATATATTCCCACATTCCAGTTCTATCTAGGAGCGACACAACTGCAACAAAGAGACAGGAAACATCAATTTCTACTCATGTAAACCCGCTTCAGATAAAGACATTAACAAAGTGGCAGTCACAGGATAGCTTAAAACTAAGATGCCTGAAAGTTACCAGCATACAGAGGAATCAACTTCCTTATTTGGTACCTTTAACACTCCTAAGAACTAGGCTTTATCCACCAGTCTCGCTTATGAGGAGACAGTCTCTGTGGAGCAGGCTTCGCTACTATCTGAGAGATACTCAACATGACCTAGAGGGTATTTATAGCTTAGGTCCAGAAGTAGCAGCTCAGTCCATCGTCTCCCCTCACCTTATTTTGGAAAAGAAGGTTAAGGGGTAAGAGTTTTTGCAGCAGCAGCCTGAAAAGATAAGTTAACCTTTCGCACCATATTGTCTGCTAGTAGCACAGATCATAGGTTAGGCGACAATTTTTTTATTTCTTGGTTTACGGATGCGCCGCTCTTTCAAAGTCCAAATGTTAAAAAAAAATAAAAATGAAAATTACCCTTTTTTTTATGACCGCCGATATTTTCGACAAAAAGTTCAAACAAAATAAAGATTACATTTTCTCGTCGAGCGTAAAGCAAAGGGAAGTCACTCTGATATTTCTTGCTGGGATCCTTCTCTAATACCATCATAGCTTGTCGACGCAAAGCACAGTGGTGACCAGTTTAACTAGTTCAACACTGTTGGCCGTTCAAAGCCACAAGTCACACCGCACGGTAGACCGTCCAAGTCACGTCAAAATAGTTTATAATTATATTAACCTACTTGTCACATCGTTCATTTATTAAATCTATCACGTTTCACAATGTCTGAAATACGTATTCCATTTGATTTCATCATTTTTTTATCTATAGATTAAAAATGTATTCACTAGACACGATTTCCCGCAATGTTATTGAAAATATTCTCGGACACACTTCGACAACGGGTCCTCATCGAGATGTCAAACAGCAAAAAAAAGACGTTTCATGTGCTGAAACGTCTTTATTTACAAAGAAATAAAATCTTCAAAAATATATCTATAAAAGTTGCCAAACTGACATCTTAGGTATTATTTCCAACTTTTCGTGCGATCGCATGTAATCGCCAGTCAAATGACATCTCGCCTTTCGTCGCCTCGATTTCTCGGCTCGGACACGATGTCTTAATGCCAAAATATATGCATAAGAAATCTTTGTCATAGCTCGTAACCTAGCTCTATACATCCATAAAGTTCCATATTTTTAATATAGATCGCGATTCCATGCTTAACCGTTCAGAATAACATGATTTAACCCAAACCTTTCGCCAAAGTCTGAAAATTACCGTTGCTGTAATTTGATTGGCTGCGTTAGGTCACGTGCTTAAATTTGACCAATCACGAACCTTGTAGCAGATTTTGTCGGTGAAACAATATAAGGTTTTTTAATGTATGCTGACATGGCAGCCTTAGACGTTTGTGTTATTCATACGAAGCTTTGAAAAGGAGGTATTTCATCATGTTAGTGAGCGGACAGCCACTATCATTGGGAAATTGGTGATGACAGATATTATTTGTAATTCTTTTTAAAATAATGTTCCAACAGCGTAAACAAATGAAAATAAAAAAGAAATGGGTAAGTGGATTTTATGAATTCTTATATTTGGCGAAAAAATCTTTAAAGGGGCACTGATCTAACGCAATTCGCCGGACTGGTTGTTGCCTTTGTTATTGTTTTTCCCCCGTGAGTACCCGGATGATACGCAACGCAACTGAGCGTGACCAGAGACTGGGGTACCGTCTGCAAGGACAGCTAAATAAACTTGGAGGCTGGAGGCAATATTTATTTTATGCATTTTTGAACACTGATTGGTTAACTTTGATCTATAAAGATTTCGACAAAGGGCGCATGTTAATTCATTTCTTCAGCCTAAACAAACAGACAAAAAGAACAAGGGAGCTCATCGGATGTCGTCATTTGGAAATACCCCAGATGGTTATAGTTTAATACTAAAAACAGTATCCATGCAGTGAAAGCATTTTCGGATTTCGGCTTGCGTCGATAATACGATTACTACTCCCTTGTTGTCATCCACGTTTTCTTGTATAACCCTACACTTGTGTATTTGTCGTCATTCACTTGATGCTCAGTTAATGAATTTATTACAGGTACAATTAGTGGTAGCACCACTTATATTACCTGACAAAGGTTCCCATTTGGCATTTATTGTGTCTGGGGTAATTATTCAATCTAAATCCAGGTTTGAAGTGAGGTGAAATGTGTGTTATGTAATATGCACGTGGCAGCCCAGCAAGAGATGAATGATCAGTTGATTTACTTTTTTTTGTAAATCAACGGATCGTTCCTAGTCATCAAAGGATTAACAGAAAATACGTTGACTGATTAATCACTGTTATCTTGCACAGTGGATATGTCAAGAGTGAGTGTTTACATGTCTAGGTTTACTAAAACAAAGGGAATACACTCATATCATGGCGCGAAGTGCCGATGTAAAAACAAATACTTTGTTGAAAGGGTTAACTGATAATACGTTGATTGATTGATCATTGTTATCTATCACTAATGGAATTTTTAGGAACCGTGGACGCTATGAAAATACGTGGGCTTTCTCAGCCGACCATTGAGACTTGACACCTATGTAAAACACCTGAAACAATCCAAGCGATCAGTTGAGAAACGAACACGGGTTATAATATCCCGAAACGATATATATCTTTTAAAATATTTGATTGTTACTGTGACACGGGACATCGAATAAGTTTCTTTGTACAGCTGCAGACGAGTGGGATATTGTTCCTTTGTGTGGATATTCACGGATACATTCCTCGAACAAGGAAGCTGCCTAAAACTTATACACATAAATTTGGTAGGTTGTAATTATGATATCTGCATTTTGTTTTCCTTCATTTGAACCGATTCGTTCTTGTTTCTCTACGTCTTGGTTGGGAAATTTTTCAATGCGTGATAGTCGTTGTTGTCACAGGTCTTTTCCTTTGTAAGCGTGTATATATTACCGTCAATTTGTTAAATGTGATTCTCTCAGGCAATTTATAAAATGTGTAAATATTTCAGTCATTTTGACTAAAAAATCTGTCCAGATTGATCAAGACGATCAAAAGGGCCTACAAACATCACAACAGATTATTATGTAGGATTAAAAGCCAAACAACTTAGAAATGTACTTTTCAACGTTACATTTTCAGTCTCTTGGTGATGACATTAAACATCAAAATGTTTGGAATTCGTTGTCATAATAATACAGATGGAAATGTTTTTCAGTCACTTTGTAAAATAACTGAATATTTAGACGTTTAATAAATGTGTTACACATTTGACAGTAAAAAAATATACACACTATAAAAAAAGCATATGCTCAGGTGAAATATATTCTTTGTGTTGCAAGTCAAAATAGTGTAAACGAAAATCGCAAAATTACCAAGCAAGTGACTTATCAAAACTTCGTCAGTATTACCGATGCTACTCACAAAGATACCTACATTTCCTTATTATCTCGAAAACTGTATTTCATTTTGTTGATCAATGTGACCATACGCCCTTATTACTACCCATAAAAGTGACTAATGCGCTTACGAATGGCGCAGCAGAGGTCGCAAACTAGTCTAGATTTCTGCTATACATCCGGGTACTCACTGGGGAAAAACAATAACAAAGGCAACAACCAGTCCCGGGGAATTGCGTTAGATCAGTGCCCCTTTAAATTTGCGCTTCATTGGTCCTTAATCTGGACGTTATAAATGTTTTAGCTTACATTATTTTTATTTAAAACGAACTTTATTTAGTTGTTAATGAATTATTTAAATAATGTAATACACATAACTTTCATATTTTATAAACAATAGGATTAATTAGACCTTTCAAATAGTGTATGGCCAAACATGGAGTAGCAAAGATGTTAATTTCAGCAGATAATTTCCTTGATAAATGTTGGTTTCATCTATCACACAAGAGTCTCTGGGAACTTGGCGTCACAGCAGTAATCTTCTGGTTGGCTGGTGTTGAAAGAGTTAAACGTTGCCCATGCTGCCAAAATAGCAGCGTCTTTCATGCATTTCCACCCATGACATGAATATTGTTATGTTGCCATTTGTGCACAAGCTGAGTGCCAGGGATATAATAAAATGTTCTTGAAAAATTGAGTTATTTGACTTTTGTTACACCAGGATATTTTTTTTCATACCTACCTAACTTTTTAGGACAAAATTCAAGTAAAAAAAATGTGAGAGGCTTTTTTTTTTTTTTTAAATTGGCCTGCCTCACTTTTGAAATGAGTTTGAAATCCGTAAACCAAGAAATAAAAAAAGTGTCGCCTTAACTGCAAATTTTACACTCAGAGGCAATGGAATTATGTCAAGGTAGTTGGGAATGATATCATATTAGAATTTATGTCACCAGCATTGGAAGTGACATGATCCCATGCAGAAGTGACGTCATCAGGACTGGAAGTGACATCTTCAGAACTGGTACTGACATCATGTGTGACTGAGTTGGAAGATCATGTGGTAATAGATTACAAGATTGATAGATGACATCACAACATGGAGAACTGGACAAAAATGTAACAGTAGTTCTATTTTAACTTTACCACATATTTGCATATGTCCTTGGCATTAATCCAGGATTGGATTCACTGAACGGAAGGTATCCAATGGCAATGAACCAAAAGTGGGGTATAAGTAGCCAAATTGCATTTCCAAATTGCATCACACAGAGGGATATGTAATCTCCTGAAGACTGTTGTATTTGTCAAGCAATTAGTACAGGTTGTTTGTTAGAACCCACCTATCCCTCGGGCATATTCTGGCAATGATGTAATAGAGGTTTTGTATTCGTAGGTATTTTCAAACGATAGTTGTCATTGTTAAAAATTCAAAGAATACTGTTTTCAGGAGTAATCTCATCCACCTCCCCAATATCCTACATCTAGGATGGAATGCAGGATGCTTTGGAAGGCAGGATGCTATTAGTTGCAAAACTAATTATGGATAGTAGACAGTGTAGAGAACTTCTGTCGAAAATCTAAAGATTTTATTGTATGATGTCATCCAAAATATTAGCAACATTAGGAGAGGCTGATGGTTGGATCATGCAGGCAAAGTTTCACCATCCTACACATGTTGATGTAGGAGAAGATTGTAAAACAAGTTCAAGCAGGCCCAAATGGGGCCAAATTGACTAGTTACATCTTGGCCTTAGCCATTGCTTTTGACCGGCTAGGTCCAGGTACATACAGCTCTTCAACAAGGACTTGATTTGTTATGATGGACTACCTTAATGAACATGACCCTGTGATGACCTATAACCCTTACACTGACCTTTGCAGTTGAAAGACCTTCTTCTCTTATATCTTCTCTGGTACTGATTTACTGATGAAGTTGGAACGTTGGTATATAGGTTTCTTCTTATGTCAGAGGGGTACACAAAGTACATAATCTAGACTCGGTGGATGAGTGGGTTAGATCGCTGACTTTGTGTGCTGGCAATTAGGTGCCTCACTCTGGGAGTGTGGGTTTGAATCCCAGATGGGACTCAACCCAAAAAAGTACTAGAATGTGTACTTTACTAAGAAAGTGTTATCCAAAACACAACATTTGTTACATTTGACCGTTTTCCAAATGGCATTGTGTGTTCATTAGTGATGATATTGCCAAAATATAATATCTGACATTCCAGAAAACACTTGTTGGTGGGTGATACCTTACTAGAAGCCTACCGCTTCCTGTGACACAGTTTCTGATCATATTGAATGTTTTTCTCACCATGACTAATGTAACATCTGTTACCCAAAATGATTGCAAAAATGTATGTTGAAATATTTCTCTAATCATAAATTGTCTGTATTGAAGGACTATGTCAAGCGGAGAATATTATGTTGGTTCTGGAGCTTGCACCCCTTGGACCTCTCAACAAATACCTTGTGAAGAACAAGTGAGTATAAAAAATCCACATTTAATGGAGTAGTTAAGAATCTCTTGGAATAACAAATTGAACTTGTTTAGTTTATTTTTTAAACTTTTCACAAGAGTGTCAAAATATATCCTATTAACGTTGAAGCTCACCATATTTTTGTGTTTATTGAGTACACTCAAGCATGATGTACGGTATTACGGTTACAAGCCAAATCTGAAACCTGTTTGTAATTGTTTAGAGTATGTAAGTTAAAGTCTGAAACCTTATTGTATTTTTCCAGAATCATGTTATAAGGGCTTCACAACAATGTTTGGGAGAAGCCCTCTTGAAACTCTCAACTTTTTATTTTGGGGAATTCATGACAATTCTGGCCCTCTTGTATAGTAGTGGCCAGACTCTCAAACTGCTGACATACCCCTCCCCATAGTAGAACAAAGCAAATTTTTAATATGCTATTGCATCCAGCAGACGAGGAAATGATAGTTGTGGTCAAATATGTTGGTGACAGATACATGCAGAAATCAGAACTCACACCTTCATTCAACCTCCAATTCTTTGGATGGCTATTGCAAACCAATCAAGACCTCTGTAACAAGGGGCGGTCGTGTAGCCTAGTGGTTAAAGCGTTCGCACGTCACGCCAAAGACCCGGGTTCGATTCCCGACATAGGTACAATGTGTGAAGCCCATTTCTGGTGCCCTCCGCCGTGATATTGCTGGAATATTGCTGAAAGCGGCGTAAAACCATACTCACTCACTCACCTCTGTAACATGGGACAGGTGGCACCGAATACAACTCCACCTACTTCCAGCACTTTGCACCAGTGGCAGGTACTCCTAGGTCTCCTCAGGTCAATGCAGGATCTGACCTCCAGAGGAAGGCTCCAACTGCGCTCCATACAGATGTTCCTTGCTCCCAACATCAGGGGCCAGAATCAGTCAGTGTCCATCGTCCTCCCGGACCGTCTCAAACCACACCTCTGATGGTGGATGGTGGAATCAAACGTCAGAGCTAACGACCTCGTTACACCTATTCATCGATGCCTCTCTCCAAGGATGTGGTCCACCGCTCAACAACAGTGGCACATCAATAACCTAGAACTATAGGCGCTCATACTGGCTCTCTCTCACTGGAAACAGACACTCCAGCGCTTAAATCACCATATCCACCGACAACATCGGCATCGTATGGTGCCTCCGCAACCAGGGCACAACCCACTCCAACCCACTCCTACTCACTCCTGAGTCAAACATTCGGATGTTTCCACCTAGTTGATCAACTGGATCTCCAGTTTCAGGTCCAACACATCCCCGGTTGTTGTAACATTCTTGCAAAAGATCTGTCCAGACATTCTTGCAGAAGACCTCTCCAGACCGGACATGATAGCTCCCACAGAGAAGAAACTCCATCTGGACGCCTTTGCTCTGTCTGTCAGCACCTCGGCCACCCCAACATAGATCTGTTTGCCACCAGCCAGGTCCGGACCTTCATATTGCTGGTTACAGACCCACAGGCTTGGGCAGTTGATGCCTTAAGCGTCCCCTAGGAAGGACAAAAAGCTTATGCTTTTCCGCCACCAGAACTCCTTCCCAGGGTTCTCCAAAAGATTAGATTGACACAGAGCCTCAATCTCACTTTGGACACACCCTAGAAGTCGGCGAGAGGTTGGTTCGTTGATCTGAGAGATATAGCTGCCGCCGACCCTCTCGAACTTCAATACAGGAATTTCCGCTCAGCAAACGGTCATTATATCTGAATGTATGGTCCATCTACAAAGAGCCTTAGCTAGAGTGACAAGGGTCATGACCCTAGCATAGACCGTTTACCAGAATCCTGTATGACGACAAGTGGCAGTCCTTCAAAGTTTTTGCAAGGAAAAGCACCAGGATCAAACCTCTGTGTCTCCCCAATTCTTGGCCAAATTTTTACTGTTTTTACACCACAGGCGTCGTCTGAAGGGCAGCCCATCACAACCTGCCTTGTGGCCCTTAAATCGGTTTTGGCGGTCCCGGCAGTCCTGGAAGATCGGAAAATGACAAAGATCCCAGAACTCCAAGCTTTACTTCGCTCCCTCTAGCTGGAAGACCAGAAGGCCGAGTTTCAAGGTGCTTACACTACTGAGAGGTGCGCTCTTTGAACCAGTTCATTTGGCATTGTATTATAACCTCCCTAAAAAGACGGTCTTCCTACTGGCCCTGGCTAGAGCGGCATTAAGCGAGCTACACGCGCTAGACATTGCACATGTCCGGTTTGAGCAGCACCTGGATCTCTTCATAGCCAATAATCAACTCCAAGGACAGCCTGACATATCCTTCCTCGTGCCGCCACTATCTTTGACGATGGAGGACGAGGATGAACAGGAACTTCTTCTATGTCCGGCTTGGCCAACAACGCCTCCTCTTCATAAAGGTATCGACGACATTGCAGGTTGAAGTCAGCCACAACTAGATCGCCATCATTCTTCAGGCCTACGAGGCTGCGGGACTGGATCCTTCGAGAGCCAGAAACTGCACGAGATCTGGGCGGTTGTCTCCACCAAGGCTCCTCGCAGCAACCATTTACAGCGCCCTTATGGAAGGCTGCTTCTGGCGATCAGACACCGTCTTCGCCAGCTTATCCTTGTGGGAATTTTATTGAAGATCACTTCTGAAGGTATGCCCTTCACCATACCGTTGGAAAAAGATCCATTAAGGAGTAATGCAGGATAAGTTAAAAATTCTAGTAAAATCCCAGATATTTTTTATATTTGTATACATATCCTGCCTTACTACGTCTAAAGTGGCCCACCCGTCGCAGAGCTGCCCGCCATTTGATATCTCAAAATGTGCCTACACGTCAGTGTAGATGGCTGTGTTCATATCTTAACTTTTATGATTTTCTTTAAAATTGGTAAGATTTTATCACATCCACAATTTTGTCCAAAAATGCTATTGTTGGCTGAGTTGGCTCTCATTGTCAATTTAATTAGTCATAGCTTTATACAAAACATTCATGTCACTGTTTGCTAAAACCATAATTCCTATGAATGTCCATAGCCATAACTTCCTGTTTGGGCATTAATCACACTATAAAATCTTTAGGTGTTTCAACAGACATTCTCTTCACTGCCAATTATCCAAGTAGTTTGGAGGTATACCCCATCCTTAGTCACAATGCATCTTTCCTGAAAGAGCTTGTGCACTCCAAAGTCTAGATGCACGTATTGCATGGACTTAACCTCTCAAGCTCTATAAAGCCCTGAATTGTCCTAAATCTAAATCCAAGAAGAAAAGAGGTAGGTTAAAAAGAGGGTACAAACTCCATTTCTAACAGCATCCGGGAAAAAGTGTGCATGAAAAAAATGTACCTGAAGGTACTCAACAGAGATTACCTAGTACGTCCCCCAAAGTTTCAAATGGAGTCAGTTAAAAGCAACACAACTCTTTCAGGCATGCAGATTGGCTGGTCAGCCTGGATCTGCAGGACGCTTACCTGCACGATTTCCTCTTAGCCGATCAAGACATATTGCAGAAAAAGCAGAACACAATATTTCTTATTCAACTCCAGTCTCATTTGGGTTTCCTGGTACATCCCGTCAAGTCGAAATTAATACCAACTCAAGTCATTGTGTGTGTAGGGGCAAGGTTTCAGCTTATAAAAGGTATCTTAAAACCCTTAAAGGACAGATATCTAAGAGCAAGAGAGATTATCCAAAATGCACTCATCCAACCAATCTGGTCATGTCTTTGGTGGATGTCTTGCCTTGGAACATTAACATCAAGATCTTACTTACAGAGTGAAGCTTCAGTTACATCCACTACAAGCTTGGATGAAAACTACCAGAGATATGGAACTGGAAAATATAACACAACCCCCTCACAGCCAGCTATTGGAACTACATTGGTGGCTTCTTCATTAAAATGTTATGCCATCCCCATCACCAAAATGTTATCCCCATCCTATTACCCCCTTCCGGTACATCACCTATACATAGATGCATCAGGCGAAGGTTGGGGTGTGCAGATGGACAACGTCACAGTCCAAGGAGTGTGGTCAGACCAAGACAAGAAGTAGCATATAAATTGTCTTGAAATGAGAGCCATTATCCAAGCTATCAAGACTTGGTCTCATCTGCTGCACCACTTATCAGTACTGACGGTGGTGGCTTACATGCAACATCAAGGGGGCACGAGATCATCACTTTTGTTGAAGGAGGTTAAGCTTTTATTTGCATTGACAGACTCAGTGAATTGCAAGACAGAAGCACGGCACATACCAGGAAAAGTGAACAAACTTGCAGACTGTCTTTCCCGGAGATACAAGATTGTGCCATTGGAATGGACCCTCCATCCCGAGGTATTCAAATGGATCACCTTGACGTGGGATACTCCTCATCTGGATCTGTTTACCACATGCCTAAACCATTGACTTTCCATATACATCAGTCCAGTTCCAGATCCATTAGTCCAGGTCAATGCTCAATCCATGAGTTGGCAGGGGATGTTCACCTACTCTTTCCCACCTTGGTCTCTCCAGGACAGAGTTATAAGAAAGATCGAAGACTCAGATTGCATCATAATTCTGATCGCCCCAGCATGGTCCTGCAGAGTGTGGTTCCCTGGTCATTATGTCTCCAAAATGACTATCAACAAAAAGACGGCCTCACTGCACACTTTGGATACTGGAAATACCAACTTAAATATAAACACAAAAATGGTTTATTGAGCAGCAGTTGTAACAAGTATATAACAATGTTATTCAAAGAATAGGATGTACACAATGGGCTTCCGGTGAGTTATCACTGCTGGGGTCAACAATTTATATCTCCTCATTTACGCATACACAAGACTGTAGGATGATATTCTTCAGATTGCTACCAGAATTTATTGCCCAAAACTAGTCCTCAGTGTTGCGGCCACTAGGACATAGCCAATACACTATTCAATCATTGAACAAAACAGTGGTTCATCCAGATAGACTATTATGTCCCATCAGAGCTCTGAGTTATTGCACCACAGCTCCTCAAAACCAGAGAAAGAAGAGGAAACAGCTTTTTATCTCTAGCAAGCCTTCATCAGGGAACGACATTACTAAAACTACTGTGGCAGGATGGCTTAAAACCACTATGTCTGATAGTTATCATCAAGCCCAGCTATCAACACCAAAATGTGATGTCACAAAAGGAGAATGAACCGAAAGTGTCATCATGGATGTCTTCAGAACCGGAAGTGAAATCATGAAAGACTGCAGGGAAATATCATAAGTAAGGTCATATAACCCCAAAACAGTTAACAATTATGACGTCATAGAATGGGAAGGATGCCACAGAGTGCCAAAAGTTTTTCAGTTTTGCCAAGGGTAGAATCAGAAAGTTATTGGTTCATACCCCTGTTTTTCTATGTATTGCTCAACTTCACTGCTGCCAATTATCTGTGAGTACCAGATGACAGATCCCAGTGTCCCTCTGGTAAATACTGGCTATGGTGTAATGGAAGTAGGATATTCATAGGAATTATCAAACATTATCCCGTGATATGCCAAGGAGAGGCACGGGCCACCGAGCCGTGGATGCCCGTGCCTATAATAAAAACAGAAAATGAGATTGGGTTAAATGGCCGAGGGTGTGCAGGCACTAGTGGGCTACTAAGCTGCTAATTGTGTATACCAAAATGCTACCGTTGCCATGGCCACTAGCTAGCGCTGCTGGCCTGAGACTGCTACCGCTGTCCGGCCCCCACGGTAGCATATTTAAACGCTACCACGCTGCCAAAAGCAGCTCCCGCTGCTGGCCTAAGTCAGACTACCGCTGCCCGGCCCCAGGTAGCCGGCCAAAGCAGATCCCACTGCCTGGCCCCATTAGCAAAACCATTGTGCGACTACTGCCGCGGACCCAACTGTCAGCTACCGCCGCCGGGCCCATATACGTGGCAATTGTTTGCCCCAACGTATGTTATTTTACCATTCCCCGGCTGAAAAGTCGGGAAAGACAAGGTTCCCACTTAGAAGCAAGTAACCCCGGAAAGGTTCCCACTGAAAAGCAGGTAGCCTTAAGCACGAGTATTAATTTGGAAGCAAGTTAATTTGTTACTAGCAGTGTAGCCCACTAGAACCCCGCCACAAAGCACTACCCCACACCCACGGCCACGCGATACGCGGAGATAGCATTGTTGCCCCGCTTGCCTATGTACTGAAAAGAAACAATAACCTGTGGAGATAACATCCTTACTGGCGCAAAACAAGCGCCAGGGCATGCAATAAATTGTCCGTAAACACACACAGTCCTTTGTCACTGAGGTGGACGCCCTCCCAGGCGTACCATGTCTTGTCTGATGCCAGGATCTGGGGATGTGGCACTATTGTACCGCCGAGCTCTTTGACTCGGTTGGCCAGTCGGCGGTTGATATTCTTCCGCATCCCCTCGATCTTTAGTGGATCCTTGGCATCGTGCCAGTAGCGCCTGGGCAGCATTGAGGATACGATGATCTTGGTGTCAGGTAGCTGGAGTTGTATCCGAGGGTATTGATGCCACCATGTCAAGGTAGAGTTGGCTGCCCTTGACCGAGCACAGGTCGTTGGAGCCCAGGTGAATGATGAGGGCTCTGGGGCTGCGCCGTGTCGCCTTGACCTGTGCATCTAGAATGGTGTCCAGCTCCTTCCACCTCATCCCCCCTCGTGCCAGCCGTAGCATCCTCGGTTGGTTCGGACTGGTGCCCTTCAGGAGCAAGTACTGCCGTGCCCTGGCCATGTAGCTGGATCCCACCATCCAAACTGTAAACAATAAGAAGTGTAGTAAGTACCATGAAAGACTATTTGAATTAATTGTGCAACATTGAATTTGTTGGTAAGCGTATGGAAGCATTGTAGCAATCTGATTTCCACCTGCCGTATTGTTGTATGAGGTGTTCCGGCACCCCGTTCATGGCTGCTGATGTGGCTGCCCCAATGTGGAAGGAGTGCGAAGAATAGCAAGCCGTGTTTATGTTGCTGTGTGCTAAGGCCTTTTTTAGTAGTGCCTGGAATTGGTACCTTGTAACGGGGGAATGGTCGAAATGAACGAATGCATGTTGTGGGCCGGAGGGGCGCGCCTCCAAGTAGTGCTTGATGGCGACTACCGGACATAGCGGATTACCTGGTATAGATGACATTGTAACTGTTGTCCCCATCCTGTACTGATCAGACTTCGAGTGTGGTAAATGGATTGAAAGCTGCTGGGGGTTGCCCGAGAAGCTTAAATTCTGGATGGCGCAACCTGTTTTTGAGGGTCCAGTTTGGACCAGTTCGCTAACCCTAAAGAAACCGAAGAAGGCTGTGCAGTAGACTGCCTTGAACAGTCTGGCTTCATATGCTGATGAGCATACATGAGGCAGATTGTTGGTTACTACCTGCAGCAGATCTGCAGTGATCGGTTTTCTGGTGTCTGGTCGGCCCGCTGATTTGTGTAAGCCTGTTAAAATCTTGCCCACCAGGAAATGGTTTGTACAGTCGGTGAGCCCGTGGAATTTGTGCTGTGAAGACAGCACTTCAATGTAAGTCTTGACTGTTAGGGGAGTGGTGAGTGACTGACAGATAAGCAATAAAATTGCGACCTGATCCAGCGGGACTGGCCACACCTCTTGTAGCTGGTGTGTGGACCGGAACTGGTGCAAGGCATTGATGCCTGTTTGGTAGGTGGCCCATGTATTTGTAGACAGAGATTGTTGTAGGAGTCTGCCGGCCTCCTGCCTCAGATCAGCCATATGATGCACGGGAAAGGTGTGGGGTTCTGGTCCGCGGCTGGTGCTGCCTCTCGGAAGCGTTTGAGCTGAAACCTCGAGAGAACATCGGCAATAGTGTTAGCAGTGGAACATACATACTTTGCCTTAAACATAATATTATATCGGAGGCACTGCAGGATTAGGCGACAGAGTAGGCTCATCACTCTGGGGGCCTTGGTCGACTGTTTGTTGATTATTGCTACGACGGCTTGGTTGTCGCAGTAAAAGAGGACCTTTTTGTTTGTGAGTTGCTTGCCCCAAAGTTGGATGGCCAGTGTGATGGGGAACAGTTCATAGGAGCGTCAAGTCCCGTGTAGTTCCATCCGTCACCCACTGGGTTGGCCATGCAACCGTTAAACCATTTGCCCTGCATGTAGGCCCCAAAGCCGGCACCACCCGCTGCGTCTGAAAACAGCTGGAGGAAATCGCTGTCTACCCATAGTTGGTCCTGAAACACTGAAATGCCGTTATAACTCATAAGAAATGTTAACCACATTTGTAGGTCTTCCTTGACCCAGCTGGTGGTGAAATGGTTGCTTACCTTTGCTAAGCAGATTGATTAGCCTTCGGCTGAATGCCCTTGCCATTGGTATAGCCCTGCACATAAAGTTAAGCTTGCCTATGAGGGACTGAAGTGCCCTTTTTGTGACCTTGATGTTACCTGTTGACAGGATGTCTTGGATTTCCCTTGTCGCCTCCTTGATCTTGGACTCTGGGATTCTGATCTGCATTGCATTGGTGTCTATTTCCAACCCTAAGAATGTCAGTTTGGTGGTGGGGCCCACCGTCTTGTCGTGCGCAATAGGGACCCCCAGCTGTTCTAGTGTATTCACGCATCCGTTGAGGTTGTCTGAGCAGTGGCTGGTGCCTGCTGTGCCCCCCGTTTGGAAGTCATCCAGGTAATGCATGATCTGACACGCTGGAAGATGTGATTGCATGCACTATTGCAAGAAGGTACTAAACGTTTCAAATATGGCGCAAGATATGGAGCAGCCAAATGGTAAGCATTTATCGAAATAGAACTCACCTTCGAATCTGATGCCTAGCAGCTCGAAATCGGATGGGTGGACTGGTATAATTCTAAAGGCCGACTGAATGTCGAATTTTGCTAGTAGTGCTCCCTTTCCCAGTTGTTGAACCATATGAGTAGCTTCATCAAATCTGGCATACACAACGGAGCAGGCCTCTGTGTCGTTTATAGATTTACCACTGTGATAGGATAGATGGTGAATTAGACGGAATTCCTCCGCATGCTTACCCAGATGCTGACCATAGCCTGGCTGCTTCTTGGGCACCAGGCCTATTGGGGATACTTGGAGGTTGTCCAGGGGGGTGTCCTTGAAGGGGCCTGCCATCCTGCCAAGGTCGACTTCCTTTTGTAGTTTTTGTTTCACGTAGCCTGCCGTGTCTTGGTGCGTGGCTGATCGCAAGTTTCGTGCCAGGCGACCCGTGCGGCTTCCCTGGAACCAAGCTTAAAGCCAAAGCTAAAACCTACCCATAAATAATTTGCATCTCTGTAATTGACCCTAGCATATTGGCGTAACCAGGGTGCCATTTCATTGAGATCCACGGGGGAAGAGGCCATTGAACTTACCTGCCTTGACGGCTGGTTTTCTGTTAGGGAAAGGCTGATTGGGCTTGTATGGGGTCGGTTGGACCCCATTCCCTCAAAAACAGGTCCTAGAGCTGTGGGAATGTTTGCCACACTTACCGCATTTGTGAGTGTACTTACAGTTGACCCTGCTACAGCCAAATTTATTGAAATCCCAGCATACCTGGCTGGCGATGTCCCCCTGTACGCGTGTCATTGCGCCCCATCCGCCTGATTCTGGTTGTAGTACCGGCTGTGTGACCATGTACTTCAGCCACAACTCCCCGTCGATGTTGTCCCAGCGTCGTGAGGGGTCCCTTGACATTCTGTGTCGTAGGTTGACCAGGCATTCCCCGCGAATCGAAGTGCCGCCGTTCTTATGGTTTCCATGTAGGACAGCAACCCCTTGGTTGTGCGGACCTCGGAGTGCCTACTAACATAGATATACATGAAAATGTGGATAGCTGAAGTCCAGCTTGCCAGGGACAGGCGCTTTGGTTGCTGCTTTATTGGTTTAAAAATTATCTTACCTGAGGAGTTGTACGCCATGGTAATCATACCGTCCTCGTGACTTCCCTCGGTGTTTGGTAGGATTGTGCCGAGGTCGACAAACTCGCAACGCCAGATTTTTTCCCTCACCTGTTGATTGACGTGTGCGTCTATTCCATCTGCACGGAAGGATAGGGAATCCCCGTATCCTGCGTTCTGATTGGCTGGCCAAGCCGCATTACCGTCGGCCTCATTGTGAGCATTGTGATTCTCCCTATGTTGGGCGACATGGCGGGAGAACTAAAACCAAGCCTTACCTGTTGGTTTGCGCTAACTGGGCCGGGCGCTGAATGTTCCAGCAACTGGAGTATATTTTCCAGTTGCTCGTTTACCTGGGTAGCCGAGTTGGCAGCCTGCGTGGCATTTACAAGCTGCGCCGATTGCACGTTAATTGTTTTGCCACCTTTGATATTTCCGTAATTGGCAGACTCACCATCAGCTGTTGCCTCCTGCATAATGTGTACTCCCGGGGCTTGTCTTCTGGTTGTCCTGGCCTGCTTGGCTCCCCTCACAAGCTTGTGGTTGACGGCTGATCTTCTCTTGGGAGGCATCACAAAAGGTCGAGGTGGTGAGTTGGTATTCCACAAGTGTAAAAATGTCCCGAGGATGAAGTTCGGGAGTAGAACGAAATAAATGCGATACGGCGAGTGCTGGAATAGGTGGTATTCAAAGTGTAATTGGCGAAACGGTCGCAACTGGGTACAAAGGAAACGTACAAAGCGAAAGCGATTTGTGAAACGCGTGTGTACTTGAAGAGGGACTGTGCGCGAATGATGGACTGTAACAAAAGGCGGGATGATGCTTGCGCTCGATTATTCCCCGGGCACGGTGCAGAGTGGTGACCCGGGGGTGATTGAGTTACGAGGGGTGATTGGGTTACAGACGTAATTAGCCAATGGTTTGGATACGCGGGATAAAGTCATTTAGTAGTTAGTACTAAATGTAAATAGTTATCATTGTGCAAAATTCTATACCTCTGTTACATCAGGAAATAGTCAGGAAATAGTCCCTCCCAACTCCCCAATATATCTTACATCTAGTTGATGAAGGTTATTGGAAAGAAGTGATGTTTTCACGCCTTATGCATGTGCAGATGCATTGTGACTAAGGATAGGGTATACCTCAAAACTAATTGGATAATTGGCATTGAAGAGGATGTCTGTTGAAAGATCTAAAGATTTTGAAGTGTAATTAATGCCCAAACAGGAATTTATGGCTATAATAGAGTAATAGAGGTAGTATTCTCAGAATTGTACACAATGATAACTATTGTTTGATTTCTGTATAGGATATTTTAATGATTTCCAAAGTCAACGATTATTTTTCAAAACAGGTCAATTTGAAGCTCAGGGTCATTTTCAAGGTGAAGTTCTATATTAATACATAAGCAGTAAAAAACATGCTACAAATGCACATACAACTATCATTTCTGGCTCTGTGTGGGCCTGGTAAAGCCCTGTATAGTAGACAAAGATACAAAAAATGTGCACAATGAAATAATAACTGCTCTCTCACAAATGGACTAGCAGACGATTTTGTGTTGTCAATCTCATAACATATAATGGTGTGTTAACCTTAGAATCTGACATTTAATTCATTACATTACATTACACTATTGCTGTCAGTATCGACAGTGTGCATTATTATGATTATATACTGAACCAAATTAAAAACTTCACAATCCTAAAATTTTAACATTTTGACCAGTTATCATTGTGGGCCCTTATTGTGTATTTAAACAGTAATGGCCAAGTATTGTCTTCAGATAACACCCGTTTTGGTGCAGGTGAATCGATCAAAATCATGTGCACAGCACTATAGTGGCAAAAGTGTTTTTTCACGTGCAACTGGTCAAGTGGCCATAATACCGCACGTGTTTTCAGCCATACTTGTTAGCAGTCATTATCAAAAAAAGAAAAACACAAGAAAACAAAAGTCTTTACGGCCATTTGTCATGCCACGCCTTTCAAATGTGCAACGTGAACGTGCCATCGGCATGTTGCAGACGGGAACGTCCGTAGCTGAAGTCGCAAGGACGATGGGTTGTAGTCGACGGACTGTTTATAATTTACAGACGCGTCTACAACAAACGGCTACCACCGCTGATCACTGCCCTCGGCCAGGTCGACCGTGTGTGACGTCACATGCAGAGGATCGTCAGATTGTCTTACGTCACCTCCGTAAAAAAATTTTGACGGCTACATCAACAAGAAATGAACTGTTTTAGGGGAAGACTGAGTGCGCAAACTGTTCAAAACCGTCTGAGAACTGCTCACCTTCAAGCACGACATTAATATTGCGGGCCGATTCTGACTCAATTACACAGACGTCAACGTCAATTGTGGGCACAGCGACACTTACGATGGACTGAGAGGAATTTGAATCAAGTCGTCTTCAGTGATGAATCCCGATTAAATCTTTGATTTGCTGATGGTAGGGCGAGGGTGTGGAGGCGCCTTCATGAACGTTACGCCCAGTGTTGTGTACAGGAAGTTGACAGATTTCGAGGCGGAAGTGTCGTTGTGTGGGGTGCTTTCTGTGGCAATGCACGTTCCAGGTTTCTTGTCATCCGTGGCAATCTCAACGCTGCTGCTTACCGCGACCAGGTACTGGCACCAGAACTTCTGCCTTTTATGGCAGCTCATGGACCAGGTTTGATCTTCCAACACGACAATGCCAGACCCCACACAGCAATTTTGACAATGAATTTTCTTCAGAATGCGTGAGTCAACGTCATGGACTGGCCGTCAAGGTCTCCCGACCTCAATCCTATCGAACACATCTGGGATGCTCTTGGCAGAAGTCTGCGCACTCTCCAGAACCAACCACAGAATTTGGAAGATTTTGGCACCATTTTGCAGCAACAATGGTGTCGTCTTCCCAATCATGTGTTCACAAGCATCACAAGGTCCATGCGGAGGCGTTGTGTGGCAGTTGTCTACGCACATGGTGGCCATACACGCTACTGAACTTGTGTGCCATCAGATTCATGTGCTTGGGACTTATGATTTAAACTGTCGATGTTATTACCGAATACCGTAGGTGCTTGGAACAAATTATGGTTACCACCGTTAATTAAGATCCTTCTTTGGACATTAATGATTAAAAATTACCTTCTCTGATACATTTGTCCATTGTATATCATATATGGGATTACTTTTAAAAATGTGAAGTTTTTAATTTGACTCAGTATATGTTTTATTTACATTGATAAGTCAGAAGAGAAAGTCACTTGAACCCAAATACATGTACAGTTTGTAATGATAAGCAGAGTTTTCAAACAACAATGAATGAATATGTCTCGAGAAAACCGAGATATAACCAAGAAATACATTTACTTATGGCATTAAATAATATTGTGGCCAGGTAGCCATTTTGCGTTTCAGATATTGTTTTGCACGTGTACACAATTGAAATTGAAATACACATAATTGAAAATTAACATATTGTTTCTTAGTTTCAACAAAAGGAAACGCACTATCGTGTCACTTGATTGTCTGGTTTGTTTAAAACCTGTGCCGCAAGGCAGGAGTACTACTGTGTGGCATCATGCAACAAAGAAACATTTACTTTTTTAAACAAATTGGGGAAGTGACGGGTGTCACCAGTAGGGCAGGACATGCTCACTCTTTTCACTGATTTTTAATGATCCATTCAATCTGTTATCTGGCTGTTATCGAGTGTTGATGTTATATATTCCTTGAATGATAAAGTTATTGTGAAGGGTTTAGTAGAATTTGTTTTGTCCCAAATGGGAAATGTTATGTCTTCAGACTAGAATTACACACTGGTATCTGATGCAATGATTTCTGGGGCATTGACAATTCTGCCCACTTGTTGCTGAGATGGATGAGTTCATATGAGTAAGAAAAGTTTACATTTGTCTGTTGTTGTCTCCATGCTCATAGTTCAGGGGTTTGTGTTGTAGCAGCGGTAGGTGAACGACAGTGGAAGCCTTGTACAACACAGGGAAAATAACAATGTAGTCGTTCTTATTCACACAATTCAAGATTAGAGATATTTGTCAAAAGCTCACAAGCATGCAGTACACTTGGGATAATAACTCTACACCATAAGTTTGAACAAATGACAGGAGTCAAACATCCTGTCCTCAATCCAACATCTTTCAATGAAGCAACGGTGCATCTCGCTGAGTTACAAGAATGATGACTCCATCTGTATATGAATCAGTGACCCAGCATAGATTGTACTTGGCTTAATCGGCATTGGCACATCGAGTTGAAAATCTATTCCTTGGAATATTTCTGCCTTTGAATATCAGAATTCTACTCTTGTAGCATTTTTCTACTCTTGTAGCATTTTAACACAATCTCCATTGGCATGAGTAATCGTGTGCAACATTAAGAGAACTTGGCAGGCCATGACTTTTTGTGCTGATCAGTGTTGTGTCATCCACTAGTACCACAGAAGGTACATGATTCTGCCCAGTCTTTGGACCTAGGTTGAGGTTATCTAAGCGTTTGATCAAATCTTTGATGTATTCAAGGAACAACCATGCTGATAGAACTTTTCCTAGTCCGACTCCTTGTCTGACTCGTTGTCTGACTGGAAAAACAGGAATTTTGTGACCATTATATTGGACACAAGCAGACGAGGCCTTGTAAGAGTGTCTAACTAAGAGGTCTGCCCATGTTATATGACTTGAACTGTAAGCCATTGTGCCCTATTCTGTCTAAGGCTTTCTCATTGTCTAGGATGCCAATATATATATTTTAAGCCCCTTCAGTAGGTATATGTACAGTTACACATGCCACATGTTCTTTCCTACAACCGCACTGTAGGTTATGTGGGAATGACGGGTTCACTTATTTCACAAAGCTTTCTAATTTATCCAGTAGAATTCTTTCAAATGCTTTTCTTTAATGTTATTTCCCTATAACCGGTATACCGGTAGCTGGATCTGTTTGTCCTTGTTATTGCCCTTTTACAGCGGTAGAATCGTTCCAATTCCCACTGATTTGGGCATGTAGCAAACACGTGTTATTAGATTGAACAAATGTCAGCCTGAAACAATGAAATAACAGCATAAGAAATATTAAATAGAATTGAATAAATATATACAATCTGTTACAGTTACTATTTGAATGTATAACATATAGATATCACTTTCATTAATAGATATCACCTCTATTACATCCATCTAGTCCTGCACATATCTGTACAATACATCAATATACACGGATACAAAATATATTAATACAATAATAAAGGGTTAGTGAACATACTGTATGTAACTTTTAGGAAGTATTACACTTACATGGAATATAGAATATATATAGAACTAAGTTATAAGGCTAATAACAATAACTCACTGAACTGTGAGTTCTTCAACAACTATAAATATATACAAGCTACATTATATTTCTAATAAATCAAATCAAGAATGCAATACACAATATATCCTATTTCTTATCACCATAACTAGACATCATCCATATTACAAAATCATAAAATACATGATTGAAGAATCTTAAATGCCAATGAATCTCCTCATTCAATTTCCATATTTTAAGACCCCATAAATCACTAAGTGACATGGACATGTTGTGCTTTGTGCATCTTTACTTTGACCAGAACTCAGACATTATTGAACTGGCTTTATTTTCTGCAGAGACCTAAAACAGTCTGAGGTGGTGCTGCTTATGAAGCAAGTAGCTGAAGGCATGACCTATCTCGAAGCCAGAAAATTTGTTCACAGAGACCTGGCAGCAAGAAATGTGCTTCTCGTCACAGAAAGATTTGCCAAGATCAGTGACTTTGGCATGTCCAAGGCTCTTAACAGAGACAGTAACTACTATGAGGTAAAGTTTGACTTGACTCAGGTATGATTGTAACTGTGGTCAACTTGTCATATGTAAGGGTCACCTCAACAGTCAAGGTCAGCCACTCATAAAAGGTACTAAAAGTATCATTCAAAATGTAATGTCAGTTCAGCTTTCCATCATAATCATTGAAAGATTGAAGCTTGAAAGTTTCATATTACTCTCTTATTCCAGCTTTACAAATCTTGTTTTGAAAAATGAAAAGCTTTTTATCTAAAAATTGGCCTGGCACTTCAACTTTGTGACTGCTTTAGAAAGACAAAAAGATGAAAACTTGAAATTCAGACTATAGTCATTCTCAGGTCATTATCATCCTTGTTAGGTTAATATTATTATTTTTACTTTTGCATTATTCACACATGTTAACAGTATTTAGAGACCTGTGAAGGTTGGTCTTCAGCAACCCATACTTGCCATAAAAGGCCACTATGCTTGTGGTAAAAGGCGACTAACGGGATCGGTTGGTTAGGCTCGCTGACCAATCTCATTAAAATCAGATCTTAGTTCTTGCTACCGCTAAACAAAGATCTGAGGACATCCCATTCCAGGTCACGTCAGAAGGACCTTTCGCAAATTTTGATCGACCAATGGAATGACTGACAAGAAATCGACATTAGCCAATCAGAAGCTTTCTCAAGCTTTACGACACTAGTTTCAAACTGGCGACTACGCTTTGAAACATATTTTGACGTATTCTCGAGAAAAAAAATTAAAACTGATGAGAAGAACACTCTGGAATGGCTTATAGATGGCCTAGATTGTATGGACATAATCACAAAACCCGTAAATGTCGTTCGGAATACCCCGTGTTAAATATTTCGTGGCTGCATGATTAGAAAACACATTCCGACTGTCACTTTTAGATCTGGTAAGCGACGCTCTGATTGGTCGGATGAAAGGTCGTTCTGACGTGACCCCTAATGGGATGTCCTCCGATCTTTGAGTAGCGGTGGCGAGTACAAAGATCTGATTTTAATTATATTTGCTCGCTGACTTGGTTGATACATGTCATCGATCCAAATTGTGTGGATCGATGCTCATGATGTCAACCACTGGTTTGTCTGTTCCAGGCTCGATTATTTTCCAGACTGCCGTCATATAGCTGAAATATTGCTGAGTGTGGCATTAAACAACAAACAAACAAATACAGTATTTTGACGACCCAAGAAGATCCGGGTTAGAATAGTTCTTCAACAAAACATGCTTGTTGTTAGGATCGTCTAGGCTTGTCGAAAGAGACAACTAACAGGATCAGTGGGTCAGGCTCGCTGACTTGGTTGATGCATGTCATTGATCACATTTGCGAAGATCAATGTTCATATCAATCACTGGATTGTCTAGTCCAGACTTTATTTTCAGACTGCCATCATACAGCGGGAATATAGCTGAGTGCAGCGTTAAACAACAAACGAACAATACATTGACACTGAAATCCCAAATAAGTCAATATTTATATTACAGTTCACCCAACATGAACCAAACTTTGAAATATAAATACTGCACATGCAGAAATCAAAACATAAACACAAGCCTTTGTGTAGGCAACATGGAGAAATGACATGTGCATCACCAGGCATCTGCCTCTCCTGGATCTTTGGCTCCATGTTAAGCCATCTAGAATATTTATGTCTGGTTTAATTGACCTTGCTACTCCTCACTTAAAGTACCTCCTGACTATGTAATGGACTCTTTTTCAACTTGATGTCATTTTTACTAGTGTAACTGATCATGGTGCAGTGCTGTTCCGTAGTTCCTCCCTCTTTGAGGAAGGGAACCTTCATCTCCTTTGCCTCTCTTTACTAATTCCCATGTGCTTTAAAAGTTTACCAGAAGGAGTCAATTTGCTATGTTATATTTACGCTGATATTGTGATCATTCTTATGAATCCTCTACCTCTATTACATCATTGCCATTAAACCTGTATTTTGGCTGCAATCACACCATACTAAAACTTTCAGATTTTTAACTGGGGTCCTCTTCACTGTCAACTATACAACAATAGTTGTCCCGAATAGCACTAACAGCTCACAACTCTCACATGCGCAAAGTGGGAAAACCTTCACTTCTTTCCTGTGTGCTAGAATCAACAACTCCATACAGCAGACACTCTCTTCTATCACTGAGCTGTAGTCACACATGTTGTTATACTTCCTGTATTTTGTTTCTACAGTATTAGTATATTTTGTTACTGGGCTCGATTCATGTGAGTATTTGTTTGTGATTATGTTTGTTTATTTCCCTTATGACCCTTTATGATGGCATGTTCTCCCCCTCAATCAGCCTGTCACAAGTGTGACAGGTTCATGATTTCCGGCGACCCTCATCCTGAGTGTAGGAAATGCAGAGAGCCTTCTTGTTCTGAAGATGATCGCTGCTTACTTTGTCTCCCCCTCTCCAAGAAGGCATTCTCCAAGCTCAGCGATGCACTCACCAAAGCTAAGAGAAAAGATGCCACCAAAAACAATGTGGATGACATCATGTCACAGTCCGACAAGCTGACCCCTCCACATTAACAATAAACTAATCTCCCGGTCTGTTACACTGAGGCAGCCCACATTTCCAATCACCATGCAGGAGCAACGTTTTGCTCAGCAGGAGTCTGAGATTCAGAAGTCAACTCTATTTGAATCTCGACTTTTGGCTCTACTACTGGAGGTAGAATGGCTGAAAAGAATTGGTTCAGACCAGACACAGAAGAATCACCCTTCTACCTCCAGTGCTACAGTCTCTCGACCTCCGAAAGAGCTTAGTCCACCTCAGGCATCCAATCAGCTGGCCGACTTTACCTCACAGAAGACTGTACCGTCAGGATCCCCACACGGATGTAACGTTAAGAAGGCCCAGGGGTTGAAAATTGATGAAAAATGTTACTTGAACAAGGGCAAGTATGACCAACATTCTTACTTGCCCTATTTTTAAATGTACTTGCCCAAAATCAGGATAATAAATTCAGTAAGATGTTGCTGCTGCAGAACTGAGAATAATTAAGAGATGCACCTGTCCTCCATGGATTTCTGTAATAAAAGATTAAAACTGACCCATTTGTCTCATTTATTTACCATGTTTACTCCACATCTCATGTACACAGTGAATCTAATCAACATATTTGCTGCTGCATGATACAGGCTCAGGTTCAAGATGTGCCTTGATCCTGGTGTGTTGTGAAGCCAGGTGTATTTTCAAGCAGCCGCTGGTATATATCAAGAACTGGTCTTTCAGGTGCCCTTTTAGGTCAATAAATTCTTTGGACATTTGTTTTCTTTCCTCTTCTGAGAACAGAGCAGAGAAATGTTCCATCAGCTTAGACAGGTCGGTGCTACCATACACAGATAGGGGCTATCTTTGAGTGGGCCATTCTATAAAGTCAAACACAGAGAAATGCTTGAGAGGATTCTGTTTGAAGCATGAAAATCTCTTGTCTAAGTAGGTGATGATGCCATCAACAAGTGATTTAGCTCCATTTAGCTTCACACCATCAAAAGAGGATTTCTCATGGTTGTACATTTTGAAAAGTATTCCATACTCTTCCCTGCTCCAACAGGATCAATTTTACAGTTTAGGTCATGACAAGACCTTCAATTTCTGAAGGAACTTCAATAATGAGTAGGTCTTCCTTCTGGAAGACAAGAGATATTTCTGTGAGGATAGGAAGGATATCAAGAATGATGCACATAGTTTTCACTGTCTTCATTTTCCTCAGCCATCCCTAACACTTGGCACTTTGATCTGATCTACCAGTGGCTACACTTTCAAAGTGATTGAGTATTGAATGAAAGCTTATCATCAGTGCTCTAACAGCTCGGATTTTGCACGCAAGCCATCTCACCTGTTTCACATCAGAAAGATTGGCAAGATCAGTATTGAATATTTCAGACACTGACTTGAGTTCCTTCCCTTATAGGACTATAATGGTAAAACTTCAAAACTTGTTTCAAGACATCTTCAAAATTTGACAGACTAGGAAGATGTTTGACAGCATCCAGTACGTCCCGGACAAGCTTATGTGCTACGCAATGCACTGGTACAACATGTTTTGTTTGTTTGCATATTTTTGCTGCTACACCACCTTTGCTGCCAAGCATGACTGAAGCACCATTAAAATACATGGATACTAAAGTAGGGCCACTAGCTTCTGTAGTACTCAACAGATCATCAAAACAAATTCCAACTGATTCAACAGCTTTTCTAATTCTGTTCAAGAGGTACTGTTCCTGCATGGAAGGATACTGGTTTTCCATGGCTTACATATCTTATAAATACAGTCTTGTTCCAAGATGGCACTACCTGTGCTTCCATCACTTAAAATTGTCACAAATCTGGCTTTCTTCAGTTTGGGAATAATTTCCTTCTGGAGAGAACATGCAATGGCTTTGATAAACTTGTGTGCACTTGCAAAGTTCCTCAACTTGTTTCTAATGTCGGCACCAACAAAGTCAAGTAGGTCTAAATTAAATTCAAAATCACTGAGCGGTTTCCCCAGGTAAGCAACATGGAATGCAGTAATGAATAATTTTTTAACTTCTGCATTGTCTGTTTGTCACTGTTTTGTAAAGCTTTCACGACAGAACTCACATTGTCAGTGCTACATGTAGGCCCAGACAACCACGGACAACACCACATTTGTGGTCTACAGAAGCAGGGCGGAACCAAGTCCATCTCTCTGATGATGGAGGCCTCATGTTTATTCAACTTGGCTGACTTATTGCCTTGCCGGATGGTAGCAAGACACATACAAGGGAAATTGAACATCCTCGCGGACAGCCTGTCCAGACATGTCAGGATCATATCCACGAAATGGACCCTCCGTCCGTACATATTCTCCTGGATCACGTTGACATGGGACACCCCGCATGTAGTTCTTTTTGTGACTTGTCTGAACCACCAACTTCCAGTCTACATCAGTCCATTTCTTGATCCAAAGGCCTTACAGACCATGGATTGGACCAATCTCTTCACGTGTGCATTCCCTCCTGGTCGCT